AACCTCACAGAGCGGCTGGGGGAGAGGGGCCGCCTCTGTTCTGGGGGCACCACACGGGGAAGGAAGAAGAGTTTCCTCCCCTGGGGGCGATGACATGACCCAGGAACCTCTGACTTTCTGTTACTCATATTGAGTTTCTGCAAAGAGCCACAGTAAGCTCTCTGTGAAAAATGGCCCCAACATTGTCAAGTGGTGGGCAGCGGGGGCTCGGGGCAGAGAGGACTCACCGGGACCATTGGCCAGGTCTGCCACGAGTTCAAGGAGCTCTTTCACCCTCTCTGATCCTTGGTTTCCTCAGCTCTAGAATGGAAGAATGTGAGTGCCTGCCTCCCAGGGCTGAGGAGGGCTTTAGTGAAGTGGGGTGATTGAGCACTCGGCCATCAACTGCACGCGATGAGCCATTGTGAGGTGGGAGCTGTGTGGACTGCTGCAGAAGGTGCACCCCACCACCCCGAGAGATTTCATTTGTTTGTCCACTCACTCCCCCATCCATCCATTCAGCCAACCATCAATGCATCTACCCACACACCCGCCCATCCACCCATGCACCCACCCATCCACCCATCCATCCATCCATCCGTCTTCTAATTATTCACCCATGTCTTATCATCCATCCATCCATCCAAATAGACATACATATGTTCTTCTGTCCATGCATCCATCCTTTCATCATCCACTCAAGACCTGATCCACCCATCCATCATCCACCCATCTACCTATCCATCTTCCCTCAATCCATCATCTACCAATCCATCCATCCCCCTATCCTCCCTCCCTCCCTTCTCCATCCCCCCACCCATTCACCCACCCAGAGGCAAAGTTATGAGCATAGCTGCTGTGAAGCTGGCCCACAGAGGAGCCCATGTAGGCTGCCCTCAAGATGCTCACAGCAGGAAGGCCAACAGTGGTGAGACACTCTTGCTAGCATGGCGAGGACAATGGTCAGGTTAAGGGCGTGACACCAGGGCCAGGTCTGGAGGTGGGGTGACGACATGGAGGTGCCTGGTCTCCTGAAGTGCAGTGAGGAGCCTGGCCCACCGCCCGCTTGTCCAGGGCCCGAGGCAGAGGAGCCCAGCCTGCTGACTCGGCTCTTCCCCGACTCACCCAGAACAAATACCTCTGTCTGCTCAGCTGCCCACCCTTCCCATAAGGTCGGGGAGGGAGTCAAGGGTCCACTTGTAACCCTTGCGGACCAGGGGGAGGCGATGTGGGGCCTGGGCCTGCACACCCCGAGGCCTCTCAGAACCTTGGAAGGGGCAGGAAGTGGGCCTGCAGCCACGTCTGCGTCTCCCTTTCTGACATCTCAGGGAGGACACTGGCGGGGGGAGGGGGGCATGGCTGGTTCCATTTGCCCGCCTTCAAGTCCCCAGATGCTCACCTGCCAGGGACTCTGTCCCCGTGGCTGGCCGAGGCTAGGGTCTCCCTCAGGATCTGGAGGGACTAGGAGCCCATGGCTTCTCTGGGCGCACCCTCCCTCTGCCCACCGAGCCCAGGTCGGAGGCTTGGAGCTGCCGTTGGGCCCAGGGTCTGAGAAGAGTCTACACACGTAGAGACTCTTGCTCTTTTTCCCCTCCCATTCCTTCTCGTCCCCTCCACCCCTCCTCCTCCACTCCTCCTTTCCTCCTCCCCTTCCTCCCTCTTCCTCCTCCTCTCGTGACTCTTGTCCAGACTGCCCTCTCCCATTCCTGATGACTCAGGGTTTGTGGACAGCTGCAGTGGAACAGTCATTTTAGGCTGAGTTTTGTGACGTGTTTGTGGCCTCCTCCCTGTGGTCAAGGTTGTAAACTCGTGTGGTCCGTGACAACAGTGTCTTGTCAGGGTAAATACTGGTGGGTGTGGGGCCTGGAGGGGAGGCCCGGGGTGCCCAGGGCCCTGTGCATATGGGCAGTCAGCCCCTCCCCTGCAGCCTCCAGGGGGACCCTGTCCTCATCACCCTGAGGCATCACGTCCTTGTTGCAGAGAGAGACACCACTGGGCAGTTTCCACAACTCCCTCCCTGTGGGGTGGAGGGGAGAACGGCTCCAGCTACAAGGAGGGCAGGTGCGCAGGGCGGACAGGCCTTCCCCGCCTCTGTGCGGGTTAAAGGTGACGGGTGGATGTGTACGTGGGTCAAGTGTCCACAGGCCTATTCAGGGAATTTCCAGTTTATTTCTGTCCAGTGTGTGGCGGAGCCTGTGCCCCACTGACTCACCGGCAAGGGGCACCCTAGAGACCCCTTTTGGGGTGAGAAGTCCAGCGGCTCTGAGGACGGACCAGCCACCTGATAGTGGAGTGGAGCCTGAGAAAGGGGTCCCACATTCTCTGCTGAGGGCTGTGGGGCTACTGCTGTCACTGTGGCCTGACGGAGCCCTCACCACCACCTTCCGTCTGCTCCCTCCCACCCGATGTTGGGTGGACTGACCTTGCTGCCCACCGGAGCCTCCACCTGAGACACTGTGATGAAGGGGTGTTAGAGTCAGACCTGTGGACCTCAGGTCACCACCACTGCCTCACCCAGAGGGGCAATAGGGCTGACCTTCTCAGACCCCAGGAGGACGTCAGGCTCTCAGACCCAGGAAGGACCCAGGTTCTCAATGCCAGGGGAGGTCCCACCTTCTCAATGCCAGAGGAGATCCCATCTTCTTGATCCCAGGGGAGATCCCACCTTCTCTATCCCAGGGGAGATCCCACCTCCTCAGCCCCAGAGGAGATCCCACTCCCTCAGTCCCAGAGGAGATCCCACCTTCGCTGTCCCAGGGAGATCCCACCTTCTCAATCCAGGGGAGATCCCACCTTCCCTATCTCAGGTGAGATCCCACCTTGTCTATCCCAGGGGAGATCCCATCTCCTCTATCCCAGGGAGATCTCACCTTCCCATCCATGGGAGATCCCACCTTCTCTATCCCAGAGAGATTGCACCTTCCCATCCCAGGGAGGACTCCATCTTCTCAATCCCACAGAAGACCCCCACCTCTCGGACCCAGGGTTGGAGAGGCTGTGCTGAGCGTCCTGGGTGCCCAGATTCCTCTGATCCCCCCAGGTCAGAGAGAGCCTGGCATGGAAAATCTCTGCCCCTTGGTGCCCTGGACGGGGCCCCTTCCTGAGTTTCCCCAGGGCTCAGTGCCAGCCTGTGGAGGCCCCACGGCGAAGTGGTGTAAGGGCCTGCTGGCCTTTTGGCTTTGGTTTCCTAATCCTTGCTCCTCCTGGCTTGGGCCACATGCTTGGCATCCCTCATGTGCCCAGGTCCCTGGGTCCCTGGAGGAAGGACGGTCCCTGGCCTGGGGCTGGTGGCACAGCAGCACAGGACGAGGGGTTCATCCTGGGAGCGATGGGATCAGGGCCCTCGGTCCTGGTCATCCTCTCAGACCCTGGGGGACTTCCCCCAAGATGTCCTTGCCCTGCTGGGAACTGCTTGGAACTGTCAGGCGGCGTGAGAGGCCTCTTGGCCCTGGGCGCTGTCACTGTGGCATGGAAGGCCTGTCAGCAGAGGCTCAGGCACAGCGCTCAGGGATGGCCCGGGGGGTGCCAGGCCAGGGCTCAGATCCCAGCTCACACTTACTTCTGGTCGCTGCTTCTGCATCCCATGCCCCCCATCCCCTGGGCATCCCCATTGTCCAAGGTCTCAATAACTGTGGAGATGAATCCCTTCCTACTCACCCCTGCCCCTGCAACTTGGGGACCACTGGATTGGAATTCGAGGCTTCCCCCACCATCTGAGCTTGCTGTCCACTCTCTCGCTGGCCAATATCAGAAGCCAAATTCAGGATGCGTGTCTGTTTTCTGGAGGAAGAAAGTGTAGGGAGGGGAGGGCCCCTGACCTCAGTTTACCCACCCGGTGCCTGGTGGGGCCTGCCTATGCACTCCTAGGCTGGTCACGCTCTAGGGTGGTAGCGAGGGCGCCATGGCTAGTGGCTTCCAATGTTGGGGCAGGTACAAGTTCAAATGCCACACCATGATTCCTCAGGGCATTTCCAGACAGGTTTTGGGCTCAGCTCGAGGGTCTGAGATTCATCAGAGGCCACAGCTCCTCTCTTTGGGACAGGACCCTCCCACCGTGAGAGGTGTGGCCCCGGGGAGCCCAGGCAGGCTGTCCCTGCCCTCCAGCCCCCTGTGGCCACCACTCCGCTCTCCCTACACATCCTGGGGAGGCTGGGGGTGGGCGGGCCTGTGCTCGGGGTCGGGCCGCCTCCCTACCAGCAGCAGCCCTGAGGCCTGTGCCTGCCCGTGGCTGTGTCAGGAACCCAGGCCCCGTTCCCCACGGGATGGCCACTTGTGGCCTTGAGCCAGTTGCCCTGTGGCCCAGAGGACCGATTCCATAAAGCATCCCCTGGCTGGGTTCCCCAAGTTCTGATTACAGGTAATCCAGGGACTGTCTCAACTTGGGGAAAGGAGGGGATTAGAGGGTGGGCTGGAGCCGGGGGCCCCTGATGGAGCTCAATAAGCTGCCAGCTGAGATTGTCCTGGAGCAGAGCCCATGGGGAGACGGGGTGGCCCCCAGGACTCTACAGGAGCCCACACCCTCCCTGCCTTGGGGGGCTGGGTGCAGGGAGGGCAGGACCCCTGGTTGGGGAGGCTGGGGCCCAGGTGATCTCCCAACCAGGCTGAGCCCCTGGCGCTGCCCGAGCTCTGTGGGGCACTGGACCTGGTGTGCTGGGGGCCATGGGGAAGAGCAGCCTGCAGGACAGGCTCCTGGCAGGATCTCCCGCCCGAGGGCCTGGACCCGCTTCTAGCGGGGAGGGACGAAGTTCCGAAGTTCAAGTTCCCTTGGGCGTGTGTCGGAATTGGGGTAATTGGGTTTTCCGCATCCTGAGGAGGGTCACCTTTACCTAGGGAGCAATAAAAAGATAAACCTCAGCTAACCTGAGTCAATATTTCCTCGCGGCCCAGGGGAGGCCCCCAGAGCTGATTTCTCTATAATCTGGCTAAGGCCCCACCCACCCCTCGCCCTTCCCCTGCCCTCTTGCCTTCTGATGGCCCTGCGGGGCATATAAGGCCTGGACACCTGTCCGCTGTTGCTCTCCCACACCAGCCTCTGAGCCACCATGGGGCTGCCACTAGCCCGCCTAGTGGCCCTCTGCCTGGCCCTGACCTTGGCCAGGGGCGAGGAGCTGCGGAAAGGTGAGGGGCAGCGGGCAGCGCTATGGGCAGCACGACCTGAGGGTACAGGACATCCGGGGCAGCCCAGCGCAGACGGTCCTACCTGGGAGGAGGAGGCGATCCTCTTCTGCCAGCATTTGGGGCAGCCTGGCATCTTCTGGGGTAGACAGGCTGGGTCCAGCTTCCTGCAGCCCCCACCCCTGCTGACTTTGGGTGGATGGAAGGAAGGAGGGAGGGAAGGAAGGAGCGAAGGGAGGAGGGAGGGAGGGAAGGAGAGAAGGAAGGAAAGAGGGAGGGAGTGAGGGAGGGAATGAAAGAAGGGAGGGAAGGAGGGACAGAGGGAATCGGGTGGTCTTGGGCTCCCTTCATCCCTTTGAAGGCGAGCCCCAGGATGGAGTATTTCTGAGGGGCGATACCAGGTGGAAACACCTGGATTGGGCCGTTGTCCATGGGTGTTGGGGAGGCAGGTCCCAGGGAGCCTGGGAAGGCAAGGCCAAGATGACCCCTTCTGCAGATCAGGGCGTTGGGCCGACTGCTGGAGGGGTGGCTTCAGCCAGAGAAGACTGAGAATGTAGGATGGGGACATCTCCATCCCACAGGGCTGTGTGAGAAAGCCACTGGGGGTTCCCTGGGCATGTTTGGCCGGACATGAGGTGGGGACTCTTGGAGGGGTCCAGCACTGTCCTTCTGCTGGATGAGGGGCGGCTGGGTGTGGCACCGAGTGGATGGAATGTGACAGTGACCAGGGGTTGGGAGGCACTGGGCCAGGTGGACAGGGCACTCAGGGGGCCCGAGAGACCCCTGCCCCCACTGCCTACCGGGCCAATGGCCGTTTGCCTCACCAGGCTGGGGAGCAAGGGCGCAAAACGGGAGACATCCTTTCAGGGGGTTGAGACCCCTGGGCACGGCGACGACAGTTGGCAGAGGCCCCTCCTGCAGGACCACCTGAGCCGCTTCAGCTGCCTCTGGAGGGTCCTGAGGGCGGTGGCCGGGCTGGGGCCTGGGGACGAGCCTGAGGGCGGCCTGGGGGGCTCACACTCCGTCCCCCTGCTCCCCAGAGGGCAGAACGCACAACCATGGCCACAACGTCTGCAGCACCTGGGGCGACTTCCACTACAAGACCTTCGATGGCGACGTCTTCCGCTTTCCCGGCCTCTGCGACTACAACTTCGCCTCGGACTGCCGTGACACCTACAAGGAGTTTGCTGTGCACCTGAAGCGGGGCCCGGGCCGCAAGGGTGGCCGCCCCCAGGTCGAGTACATCCTGCTGACCGTCAAGGACGACACGGTTTACCTCACTCCCAAGCTGGCTGTGCTGAACGGGGCCATGTGAGTGTGGTCGGGCGGCGTCCCCCCAACATCCTAGAAAGGGGGCCCCATGGCTTCTGTGGGCAAGCAGGAGCCTGGCCAGCCCCCACAAGCCCCTCTCTACCCCAGCACAAGGCTAAGGAGAGCACTGGGGTTTGAGTTCAGGTCATTGATTCATTCAGCAAACACTGATGCCCCATGGGTGAAGGACCAGGGAGGGGACTTTATTTCTCCTGCGAGTCTCGCAGCCCTGTGGCTCGGAGCCCACCAGGCTCTGGGCATGCATGGGGGACAGGTGGCCGTCCTGGTGGGGGTGGCCTGGCAGCCTCTGGGGAGGAGGCCTTGGGCCCTGCTGTCCCAGGCTAGATATACAGAGGCCATGCAGGGTGGGGCCTGTGGGAGCCCCCAGCCCCCTGCCCCAGCCTTTGTCCCCCATTGTGTCCGGAACAATGGAGCCTAAGTGCATTCCTGCCTGGCGGCTCCCCACCTGCGGGGTCCACCTTCTCCCTGTGCCAGGGGATCTTGTTTCCCCTAGAGGCTGCAGCCCTGGCAGCCAGCCCCAGTCTCAGGGTGGGGGTGGGGACAGGGCCCACGGAGGCAGAGTTTGGGGTGAGCACAGAGCCAGGGCCCACCCTGGGCGGTGGATGGGGAAGCCCCTCTCCATTCTCAGGGCTCATGGGGCTCCTGCCCAGGACAGACCCAGAGGAGGGGTGCAGAGATGGGGAAGGGCAGGCAGGGTGTGGCTCCCCCTGAAGAAGCCCGGCCAGCCCAGGTGGAGAGGAACTCTGGCCACTGCTCAAGTCCCCTGAGAGGGCAGACAAGGCCTTTTGTGGCCACAGGGCAGGAGCTGGCCTGGCAGGGCTGGCTGAGAGGCTGAGGCCAGGCCATCCCAGCCCACACGATGCACAGCCTCAGTCACCTCTGTGTAGCGGGACCCCTGGCCCTGGCTGGGCGGCTCTGTGGGCTGGCTCGTGACCCTGTTGCCCCCCCAGGGTCAGCACCCCGCACTACAGCCCTGGGCTGCTCATCGAGAGGAACGACGCCTACACCAAGGTCTACTCCCGTGCCGGCCTCACCCTCATGTGGGACCGGGAGGACTCGCTCATGGTGGGTGCCGCCCCAGCGCCACAGGGCCCTGGGGGCCGAGGGGACTCCATCAGAGCTCTGGGACTCCAGGGGAGCAGAGGATTGCCAGTGGTCCCATCCTCACCAAGAGGGGTGTCCAGGGTGGGCTGGGAGTGTGGAGCAGCCTGTCCGCTGGTGGAGAAGGCTGGCGGCAGAGGCGGGACCACCCAGCCCACCCAGCAGGGCACCCTCGCGGCTTCGGGTGGTGGGCCAGTCCTCCCCATCTCCCAATCCCCTCCTGGTCCTCAGTGATGCCAGGACACCCCCTGGCTGCCCACAGCCCTCCTGCTACACCCATTCAAACAAGTTGCAGGTGCTGCCTGGCCATGGCCGCTCACCTGCTCTCTCTTCCCCTGGCAGCTGGAGCTGGACAGTAAATTCCAGAACCACACGTGCGGGCTCTGTGGGGACTACAACGGCCTGCAGAGCTACTCCGAGTTCCTGTCTGATGGTGAGGGCCTCCTCGGGGGCTTAGGGGGCAGGTGTGTGCAGACTCCCGGGTGCCCCTCGCTGACCGGCTGTGCCCCCCACAGGCATGCTCTTCAGTGCTGTCCAGTTCGGGAACATGCAGAAGATCAACAAGCCCGAGGTGGTGTGCGATGACCCAGAGGAGGGGCAGACCCCTGAGTCCTGCTCTGAGCACGTGAGTGGCTGGCCGGGGACCCCTGCCCAGGGGAGGAGCCATTCCCGGGGGGGGGACCCTATGGGAGCCGTGCCCACCCCTCTCCTCAGAGGGCCCTGTGCCCACTGGTCTCTGCTGGGGACCCCCGGCGGTGTGGAAGGGAGGAGGGCGTGAGCAGCCCCTCCCACTGCCCGTGTCTGTCCACCAGCGCGCCGAGTGCGAGAAGCTGCTGACAGCCGCGGCCTTCAAGGACTGCCTGGGCCTGGTGCCGCTGGAGCCGTACGTACGGGCCTGTGTGCAGGACCGCTGCCAGTGCCCCTCGGGCGTTTCCTGCGTCTGCAGCACCCTGGCTGAGTTCTCCCGCCAGTGCTCGCATGCTGGCGGGCGCCCCGGGAACTGGAGGACTGGCACTCTCTGTCGTAAGCGCCACGCGCATGAATCGGGAGGGCGGGGACCCAGGGGCACATGAGGGATGATCCACCAATCCACAGGGAGCACTGCAGCCTTGCCGGCCCAGGGCAGGGCAGCCTGGTGCCCTGGATCAGGAGTCACATCTCTGCCCACCCTTGAGGCGGCCTTGGCTTTGGGGTGGGCGGGAGAAACCGCCTGCGTGGGAGACTAGAGCCCTCTGGGTGCACCCCACGGGCAGGTCCAGCCTCTCCCCTCCCCCACCAGCTGCCCTCCACCCTTGGCATAAGTGCCTCACGTCTCAGGGGCCGTCCTTTGCCCTTCTAGCCAAGAGCTGCCCCGGGAACATGGTTTACCTGGAGAGTGGCTCGCCCTGCATGGACACCTGCTCACACCTGGAGGTCAGCAGCCTGTGTGAGGAGCACCGCCTGGACGGCTGTTTCTGCCCTGAAGGTGTGCGCTGGGGCACCCACGGGCATGCGGGGGCAGGAGGGGTGGTGCTCTGATACAGCCCACCCTCACCTGAGGGCGCTGGGACCAGTGGCCTTGGGTTTTCTGCTGCACCAGGGGGAGAGCCATGCTGGGATGGTGGTGCCGGGTGGTGGGGGCAGCAATGGCACAGGAAGCGAGGAACGGTGACCCCACTGAAATCGAGGGACGAGGTACAGGGAGAAAGGGCACAAATGCTGAAGTTCCCACCTCATTCACACACGATGACGGCTTCTGGGAGTCTGTGGGAAAGGAACCTTCCTGGTTGTCACCCCTTGACAGACCCTCTCTTGTCCGGCCCATGGAGCCTGTAGGACCCCGGGAAGGGGCCTGACTCTCAGGCCCCCATGGCATGTCCCTGACCAGACACTCTGTGGGGACCATGGTGTTGCCCAAAGGACCAGAGGTGCTTGTGGGAGGGAGGCCTGGCTGGCAGCCCCCCCTCGGGGATTCCGGCATCTTCCGGAGGCTGTCCCACGGCTGTGGCTTTGGCAATGGCAGCCCCATTGTGGGGAATCTGGCACTTTCCGAGGCCAGTGAGTGTAACGCCCCGCCCGGCACTGTCCCAGGCACCGTGTACGATGACATTGCGGGCGGCGGCTGCATCCCCGTGAGCCAGTGCCACTGCAAGCTGCAGGGACAGAAGTACGCGCCCGGCCAGAAGATCACCAAGGACTGCGAGCAGTGGTGGGTCCCGGGGGCCGGGGCTGGGGTCCAGATTGTGGGGGGTCCTGGGGATCTGGGCTGGGGGCCCGGCAGCCTAGGGGAAGTAGCTGGTCCTGACCCTGGGCCCCACTGCCTGCAGCGTGTGCAATGCCGGCCGCTGGGTGTGCAAAGACCGGCCGTGCCCCGGGTCCTGTGCGCTGGAGGGCGGCTCCCACATCACCACCTTTGACGGGAAGAGGTACACGTTCCACGGGGACTGCTACTACGTGCTGACCAAGGTAGGTGGGCACGGCAGGCAGGCACGTGTGGGGAGCTGGCTCTCCCTGCTCCCCTGCTCGTTCAGTGTCTCCGCCCTCCCCGCAGAGCGACCACAATGACTCCTACGCCCTCCTGGGCGAGCTGGCCGTCTGCGGCTCCACGGACAAGCAGACCTGCCTGAAGACGGTGGTGCTGCTGGCCGACAAGAAGCAGAACGTGGGTACCCCGCCCCTGCCCTGCCGGCACCCCCGGGGGCTCCATGGCCCTTAGCCCCACCGTCCCTTGGCCTTTCCCTCAGGTGGTGGTCTTCAAGTCGGATGGCACTGTGCTCCTGAACGAGCTGCAGGTGAAATTGCCCCATGTGACGGGTGAGTGATGGGCCGGGGCCCAGGTAGGGAGGGGGACGGTCCCCCTGCAGCACCAGACCCGCTTGCTGAAGGTGGGCCTGCCGAGCAGCCCCTCACCGCCCTCCCCTCTCCACCTGGCAGCGAGCTTCTCCATCTTCCAACCGTCCTCGCATCACCTCATCGTGAACACTGCCTTCGGCCTCAGGATGCAGGTCCAGCTGGTGCCGGTCATGCAGCTCTTCCTGACGCTGGACCAGGCCGCCCAGGGCCGCGTGCAGGGTGAGTGGCCCTGCCTGCTCCCGCGACAGAGTCCCACGTGGGGCCTACCCTGCCAGGCCCTTCCCAACCTGGTCCCTCGGCCCCTCAGGCCTCTGTGGGAACTTCAATGGCCTGGAGGGCGATGACTTCAAGACGGCTGGTGGGCTGGTGGAGGCCACGGGGGCGAGCTTCGCCAACACCTGGAAGGTCCAGTCGAGCTGCCCCGACAAGCTGGACTGGCTGGACGACCCCTGCTCCCTCAACATCGAGAGCGGTGAGGCAGATAGGGTTCCCGGTGGGACGTGGGGGTGGGTGGAGGTGAGATGGCCTGCCCCGTTCGGGGCCCGCCTGCTGCTTTCTGCCACATGTCTGGTTTATGGTGGCCCATGATGGCAGCCCACCAAGTGACCTGGCAGAGGTACTGGACCTGCCAATGGCTGGGTGGTGGCCCTCCTCCAGCGACTGGCCTGGTGCCATGACAGGATACCCTCCCACCCGCTGTGCTGCCTAGCTCGTCCTGGGAGGCAGAGAGGGTGGGTGGTGGGTGCCCCTGTCTCGTAAGAGGCACTGTCCTGCGCTGAGTTGGCCTGGAGGGGGACCGGCTCAGTCCACAGTGGGGACAGTGTCTGCTCCAGCCTGGGCCACCAAGCAGCCAGACTCGGGGCACTTGCTGGAGGGGCCACCCCTGAGGTTCTGACCGGCCTCTGCAGCCAACTATGCCGAGCATTGGTGCTCCCTGCTGAGGAAGACGGAGTCCCCCTTCGGCAGGTGTCACTCGGTTGTGGACCCGGCTGAGTACTACAAGGTGGGTGGGACCCGCACCTGCCCTCCCCAACCCCTGCTCCGTGACAGGAAGGTGTGCCCAGTGCGCCTGGCTGAGCCTGACTGGCTGCCTGTGAGGTTCCCGCTAGTGGCTGCTGAGTGTGTGTGCGTGTAAGCATGTGTGTGAGTGTGCATATATGTATGTGTCTCTGTACACGTGTATTTTGTGCACATGTGTGTGTGGGCATGTGTGAGTGTGTGTATGTGTATGCGTTTGTACGTGTGGAAGTGGGAGTTTAAGCGTGCTCACGTTTGTATATGTGTGGGTGCATGTATACTAGTGCGTGTCCAGGAGTGCTTGCACACGTGTGTGAGTTCCCAAGCCCAGCTCCCTCCCTCACTGCCCTGCCTCGGTTTACCCCCAGAGGTGCAAGTACGACACGTGCAACTGCCAGAACAACGAGGAGTGTCTGTGCGCCGCCCTGTCCTCCTACGCCCGTGCCTGTGCCGCCAAGGGCGTCACGCTGCGGGGCTGGCGGGAGAACGTCTGCAGTGAGTGCCGTCCCCTGCCGGCGTCCTGGGCTCGGGGTCCTGGCTTCTCCATGGGGCGGGGGGCTGGGGCTCGGCCTTCGATTCAGCCCCTGTCCCCAGTGGCAGCTCACCCTGAGTCCAGGGAGAGGGATCGGTCCACCACCAGCGGGTGATGCGTCTTCCAGCTTCCTCTGCCAGGAAGGCGGGAAACCGGCGCTCGGCTGCTCCCCGCTTGTGGGGAGGGGTCCGAACTGTGGCCGCTGCCCCTTTGCGCAGACAGGGAGGCATGTGTGGTGGGGCACCTGTGCAGCCAGGGCGACCCCAGGATGACAGCTCCACTGGCCGCCTGCGGGGACGTGGCTGGGGCCGTCCCTTGCGCCCTCACGCTGGCCCTGCCCCTCTGCAGACAAGGACGTGGGCTCCTGCCCCAACTCGCAGATCTTCCTGTACAACCTGACCACCTGCCAGCAGACCTGCCGCTCGCTGTCCGAGGCCGACGCCCACTGCCTCCAGGGCTTCGCGCCCGTGGACGGCTGCGGCTGCCCCGACCGCACCTTCCTGGACGAGAAGGGCCGCTGTGTGCCCCTGGCTAAGTGCTCCTGCTACCACCGAGGGCTCTACCTGGATGCGGGAGAGGTGGTCCTGAGGCAGGAGGAGCGGTGGTGAGTGGCCTGGGGCCTGGAGGGAGGGAGGGCATGGGGGTGGGCAGGGCCAGCTCTACCTGGGGAAGCCCCCTCCCCACCCCTTCCCACAGAGTCTCTGGGCCTGTCCTCAAAGGGCCCCGTTCACCTTCCCACTCTCCCTGCAGCGTGTGCCGCAACGGGAGGCTGCACTGCAATCCAGTCAAGCTGATTGGCGAGAGTAAGTGAACATGGCCCTGAGCCTGGCCCCCTGCCCCCTGCCCCCTGCCCCCTGCCCCCTGCCCCTTGGCCTGCTCGCCCTACCCCCCTCTCCATCCTGCCTGAGCCCGCCAGCCATCAACTTCAGCTGAGCTGGGGTGGCTCCTCTGTCTGTAGCCTGCAAAGCCCCAAAGATCCACATTGACTGCAACAACCAGACCGCGCTGACCATCCGGAACCCCCGTCCCCTCAGCTGCCAGACGCTGGCTGCAGGACATGTGCGTGCTGGGACCACCGTGGAGGGGAGGGTGCAGCTGGGGCAACTGGGGAGGGGTGGGGTCAGTTGGGGTGGCCGTGGAGGTGAGGGGGCAGCCGGGCTGGTGGTGGAGGGGAGGGTGTAGCCGGGGCAGCCTAGCTCCCGCCCTGACCCTGAGCTGCTGTGCCAGGTCCTGAGGACTCATGAGGCTCATTGAGCCCTCCTGTCCCTGGGGCCTGGTGGCGGCCTGCAGGCCCCGCTCAGCCTGCTGGGGTCACAGGGGCCAGACCAGGGGCCCCTGGCAGGCAGCACTCACGTGTCTCCCTGCCCAGTAGTGGAGGTGTCCAAGGAAGAAGGGCTCCAGGGGTGGGCCAGACAGAGGGATAAGGGGTCAAGGGGTGGAGGCGGGGGTGGGGGTGGGGGACACAAGAGGAGTCTGCAGTGTCAGAGGGGGGGCCAGCCAAGGGCAGCCAAGATGCCGGGCCTGGCATCTAATGCCTGAACCCCGCTCCGCGGCCACCCCACAGTACCAGACAGAGTGTGTGAGCGGCTGCGTGTGCCCCGAGGGGCTGATCGATGACGGCCGAGGCGGCTGCGTTGTGGAGGAGGACTGCCCCTGTGTGCACAACAAGGGCTTCTTCTCCCGCGGGGACAAGATCAAGGTGGACTGCAACACCTGGTGAGTGGCCTGGCCTGGCTGCCCTCCAGTTGGAGCGTGTCCTGGAGGCCAGGCAGACCATTGGGGCTGTTCTTCCGGGGCTGGCCGGGGCCAGCAGGGCTACATGGCCCTCCACCAGGTTGGCAAGACCCTGGCCAGGATCGGAGGGGGCGCTGGGGTGGCACTTGCTGGGCTGGTGCTGCTTTGCAGGCATTGTGTGTGAGCTGCCTGTGGAGGTGTCTGCACCGCACCTGGGCCTCGGCCAGGCTGCCCTCTGAGCAGGCGTGGGAGGCCCCAGACCCTGTATCACCTCCAGGCCCCTCTCCTACTCTCCTCAGTACCTGCCAGAGAGGACGCTGGGCGTGCACCCAGTCTGTGTGCCACGGCACCTGTGTCATCCACGGGAGCGGCCACTACATCACCTTTGATGGGAAGTACTACAACTTCGATGGACACTGCTCCTACGTGGCCGTTCAGGTGAGGCAAGGGCACCGCCAAGGCCTGCACCCGCCCGTGTCCACGCTCTGCCGGCCCTGAGCTGCTCTCAGTGGAGGCTCCTGTGGGTGTGAGGGGCCAGCCCTTTCTCCACCCTCCCATCCTGTGACCCTCTCTTGAGTGCATGGGGGGTGTGGGTGTTAGAGGTGGGTTAGGTCCCTCATGTGGCATGGTTATCCCCTCTCGACAGAGGAGGGGCTGAGGCTCAGCTGGGGTGGGGCTCCCAGTGGGGCACCTGTGGCCTGGCTGGCCTGGCTCACACTCTGCTGTGGGTCCCCAGGACTACTGCGGCCAGAACTCCTCGCTGGGCTCCTTCAGCATCATCACCGAAAATGTCCCGTGTGGCACCACGGGCGTCACCTGCTCCAAGGCCATCAAGATCTTCATCGGGGTGAGTGCTGCCCATCCCCAGGGATGTGAGGGTCCTTGGGGACCCTTGGACCTGGCCAGTGACTGGGCCTCTCCCCTGGGCACAGAGGACAGAGCTGAAGCTGGAGGACAAACACCGCGTGGTGATCCAGCGCGACGTGGGCCACCATGTGGCCTACACCACGCGGGAGGTGGGCCAGTACCTGGTGGTGGAGGCCAGCATCGGCATCATCGTCATCTGGGACAAAAGGACCACCATCTTCATCAAGCTGGCCCCCTCCTACAAGGTACGCAGCCTCCCCTGCCCACCAGGCCTCTCCAGGGCTGGTCCTGCACGCACACCGGGCCTCCCAGGCACAGCGGGGCCGTACCCCTCCCTCCCTCGAGCCCCCTCACGAAGCCCCTGGCTCGCTGGTCTCCGCAGGGCACGGTGTGCGGCCTATGTGGGAACTTCGACCAGCGCTCCAACAATGACTTCACCACGCGGGACCACATGGTGGTGGAGAGCGAGCTGGATTTCGGGAACAGCTGGAAGGAGGCCCCCACCTGCCCGGACGTGAGCGCCACCCCCGAGCCGTGCACCCTGAAGCCACACCGCCGCTCCTGGGCCGAGAAGCAGTGCAGCATCATCAAGAGCCCGGTCTTCAGCGCCTGCCACAGCAAGGTGGGTGGGGGGGCGCAAGTGGTGGGCACGGGAATGGCTGTGGGTGGGCAGCATCTACCCGCCTGGTGTGCACACTGGGAGTCACTCGGCTGCATCACCTCTCGCTTCAGTGCCATCCTCCGTGTCCTTTGGACACACGACCAGAGGTCCAGCTTTCCCTCTGAGACCTCTAGCTGGACCCCCAGCCTCCTGTACCTTCCAGGAGGGAGAAAGAACACTCAGCTTCTAAGACCCGATGGTTCTCAGCTCCAAGCAGTGGGGGCGAGGGAGCAGGTGCAGGGTGGTCTGTCTCATGGCAGAAGACCCCGGGACCCTGAGGGTCTGCATGGCCAGAGTTGGCCAACCGTGTCTGGACCTCACCTGTCAGCCTCACTGGAGGCCTGGGAAACTAGTGCTGGGCGACCACCCCATGTCCCAGGTGTGGGGCTGGCCTCATGGTCCTGAGATCCTCTGGCCGCAGGGGAGGCCTGATCCCCAGAGGGCAGCACAGGCCCAGGGCACATGGTGGCTTCTCCCCCAGGTGAACCCCACACCCTTCTATGAGGCCTGTGTCTACGACTCGTGCTCCTGCGACTCGGGTGGCGACTGTGAGTGCTTCTGCTCTGCTGTGGCCGCCTACGCCCAGGAGTGCACCAAGGAGGGGGCCTGTGTGTTCTGGAGGACGCCGGACCTGTGCCGTGAGTGTCCGCCCGTCCTGGACCTGGGTGCCAGTGGGGTGGGTGGCGCAACTTACCCCTGCAAGGGATGGGGTGTATGTGGTCCCCTGCCCGCCTCCCCCAACCCAAGGATCCAAGTGTCCTTCCTCGGGGCCACTGTGCTGCCTGGGGTGGCAGGAGGGAGCTGGCCCCTCCCGGCCCGTCCCCCCGACCTGGCCTCGGCACTCGCTGAGTCTGACCTCACCTCCCTCCTCCCCAGCCATATTCTGCGACTACTACAACCCCCCGCACGAGTGTGAGTGGCACTACGAGCCTTGTGGGCACCCCAGCTTGGAGACCTGCAGGACCATCAATGGCATCCACTCCAGCATCTCCATGTCCTACCTTGAGGGTGAGCGGGGCCTCCTGGGTGAGAGTGGCCTGCCCTGCCCTGCTGGCCTGGGGCTGCAGGACAGTGTCCTCTGGAGACCCTTGTGGTCACCCTGAGAGTGGCTCTCTGGGGGCTGGAGACCCCGAGTCTCAGGGTGGGCCAGGTTCAATTTCTGCAGGGTCTTTGTTGATTGCACAGTGGGCTTGGAGACTGAGCTATGAACCTGCCCTCTCGGGGGGAGGCAGAAAAGAAGCAGGTTAACAGGCACCGGGTGTTGCCAGGAGCAGAGAGTGCTATGGGACCTGCAGAGCAGGACGAGGGGGCGAGGGCTTTCAGAGGTGGGTCTGGGAGGCCACTCCATGCCTTTGATCTGAGAACCAGCGACATGAAGGACTGAGCTGTGAAGTCTGGGGAGGGAGCCTCCTACCTCATGGGAGGGACATCAGGTCAGGGGCCCAGGGTGCAACCTGGAGGCTGGGTGGGGCCTGGCTGTCCCTCAGCAGGTGGGCAGGACCTAGCTGTCACTTTGGCCATGTGGCACTGTTCAGGGCCCAGCTGGGGGTATGTAGGTCCCTGCCTTTCCAGTCCCTGACCTTTCCATAGGGACATCCTGCAGAGAAGGACCTGCCAGAGTGGGGCCCATGGTGGGGTCTGGTGGACGTGGGGTCCCCCACCGTGGTCCAAGCCCTTTGCCCTGTGCCCTGTGCCCACCAGGCTGCTACCCCCGGTGCCCTAAGCACAGGCCCATCTATGATGAGGACCTGAAGAAGTGCGTCAGAAGAGACCAATGTGGCTGCTATATCGAGGACACCCGCTACCCACCTGGAGCGTCCGTTCCCACGGATGACATCTGCCAGTCTTGGTACCTAGGCTCACATCATAGGGGAGGTCGTGGAGGGCAGCACACACAGAGGCACACACGCACGTGCTCACACGCATGCGCCTGTGACATGGCCACACACGCACAGGTGCATATGCACCCACGAGCATTCACATCCATGCACCCACGCACAGGCACACAAAGTGTTCACATACACAGAAGTGGACACAACACACATGCTCTCACATGCAAAGGCGCACACACCTCATGGGTCACACGTGCATGGATGCACATGCGCACACTCACACACAGGAGCCAGGGCGTGGGGACCAGCCTCCTTCTGGGGAGAGGCAGGCCTTCCTTCTCAGCCTCCCTTCTGCATCCGGCTTTTGCCTACCTCACCTTGTACCCACTCTGTACAGTTAGAGCACATGGCTCCCCTGGGGTGGGTGTTTGGGGCCGTGGCCTAGGCTTCTGGCCGGCCTCAGGGGTGTGGCATCGGGGGTGTGGCATCAGGGGTGTGCACAGGGCATGGGGCCTCGGGCGTGGCGGGGAGGGCGGAGCCAGGGGGCAGAGGCGACTTTCCTCATTTTCCGGGGTCTGAAGCTGCAGCACTTCCCTTCCAGCATGTGCAGCAAGTCCTCCAAGGTCATCTGCTGGCCCGAGGAAGGTAAGCTGCCTTCTGTGGCTGCCCCCCAGGCGGCAGGCCAGACCCACCCGGAAGAGCCTGTGGCTCTCCTGTCCCTGGACCCTGGACACTCAGTCTCCTCCTCCACCCCGTGGACCCCGGGGGCCCTTCCTGGCTCAGACCTGCCTGATGGGCAGCAGCCCCTTGGGGCTCACATCCTGATGCTCCCCGTGGCAAATGCCCTCCTGTGACTCAGCTTCTCCATCCTGATGGGGACCCTTAGGGTTCTGGGGAGGGGTCCCAAGGGGGCATTGGTTTGCCGCTTGCCGGAGACCGGGGACAGCCTGCCTTTCCCTTCTGGGACAGGCCGAGAGGGGTCTTGTGAGTCTTGCTCCCAAAGTGTTGGCGTCAGCCTCCCTCCCATCCCCCAGGAAAGATTCTCAACTACACCCAGCACGGCTGCTTCTGCTACTGGGAGCTATGTGGCCCCAACGGGACGGTGGTGCAGCACTTCAACACCTGTGGGTGCCCCTCTACACCCTCAACCTCCTCCACACCCACCAGCACGACCCCCGTCACCTCCACCACCGCCACCGCCACCACCATCACCACAACCACCCCCACCTCCAGCACAGGTGAGGCCCCCTTTCCTCCTGGGGCTCCTGCCTCCTCTGCACCCTGAGTCCAGTAGCAAAGGCCCTTCCAGGGGCAGGAGCACAGCTGGCGTGGCAGCTGTCACCTCTGCGCATGGGCGGGGGTTCTCGCTGACACGCGTCTCAACTCAGGAAAATGTCCCCCGGGCCCTCGGCCTTGGGAGTTGAGATGCCTGTGTCACGACCACGCTCCCGAGCCCCAACCACAGTGAAGGCGACTTGGGGACATTTCCAAAAACCAGCAAGAAAATATCCCAAGGGTTGAAGAAAGCAGAGAAATGTCCTTCAATTCCTCTGCATTTGTTCTGGTGGAAATCGGAGCTACCACTGGGCAAGCCACCAGGGGTATGACAGCCACAGGAAAAAGAAACATGTAAAATTTAAAAAGATTTTAAAAAGTCTTGAGCTGTGTAATGACATCATCTCTCTTTTTTTTTCCCACATTACTGCAGGTTCATCTTCCACTTCAACTCCGTGTAAGTCCCGTGGATGGTACTTCTGGGTGGGAGATGGGGCCAGGGGGACAGGTCACATAAACGAACTCCGAGGAGATCCCTCGAGACCCTGATGTGGGGCCAGCTGGCGGGCCATCTGCTCACAGACCGAGATGGTGCATTTGGTGACTTATTTCCCCGTATTTGAGTCCAGGGACTCACGCAGGGGGACTTGACCTGCTCTGGGTGACAACATGGTTGGTCAAGGGTTGAGACCAAGCCCCTTCCTCACTGGAATGGGTGACCTTTTGGTTGTTAATTTTTGGGCACAAGAATTTGAAAATAGTGGAGGAAGGAGGGCTGGTCTGAGCCCCGAGGCCTGGGTCCATCAACGCTGGGGGTGCGAGGGCTCATCCCTCTCTGGGCCTCAGTTTTCCAGCTGCAAAAGGCAGGTGGAAGTGGTGTCCAGCTCTAAACTCTCTGACCCTACAACCGGGTCCTGGGGGACGACAGGGAGCCGGTCCTGAGGGTCTCTGACATCTCTGAGTCCCAGTGACCTCCCCGGCAGGCGCGCCCCCAGGCGTGGCTGACCAGCCCTGGGTCTGCTTCCCTAGCGCCGTGCTGCTTCTGGTCCGACTGGATCAACGAGGATCACCCCGAGACTCACGGCGACAGCGGGGACCGTGAGAGGTTCGACAGCGTCTGCCAGGCCCCTGAGGACATCGAGTGCAGGGCGGCCACGGAGCCCCAGCTCAGCTTGGAGGATCTGGGCCAGAAGGTGCAGTGCAATGTGTCATTTGGGTTCATCTGCAAGAACGAAGACCAGTTTGGGGACGGACCATTTGGAGTCTGCTATGACTACGAGATACGTGTCCGCTGTTGCCTGCCCATGGAGGAGTGTCCTTCGACCCCAACCACGACCCCCACGACCACCACCCCCACCACGACCACCATGCCAGAGACCACAACCCTGACCCCCACCCCTACGACCACTGTGACCATAACACACACCACGACCCGCACCACGGGGACCCCCACCATGACACCCAGCACCATCACCACCACGTCCACAGAGACCTCCACCCCGACTCCCACCACTACACATACCACGTGCAAGACCATTACCACTACTACGTGTGTGGCTGACTGCGAATGGACTGGCTGGCTGGATTCTGATAAACCAACCTTTACCAGCACAGGTGGAGACATTGAACCCATCGGAGATGTCTGTGGAAGAGGCTGGGTAGCCAACATCTCCTGCAGAGCCCATATGTATCCAAACGATTCCATCGAACAGCTTGAACAAACGGTGGTTTGCAACACGTCAGTTGGACTGGTGTGCAAAAACCAAGACCAGAAGCCTGGGGGAGTCATCCCCATGCCTTACTGCCTCAACTATGAGATCAACGTCTACTGCTGTGGGTTGTGTCTCTCCACACCTTGCCCCACGACCCCAGAGACCTCAACCCGGACCACGACCATCACCACCACCACCACCACAGAGACCACAACCCCGACCCCAACCACCACCACCACCACAGAGACTACAACCCCGACCCCCACCATCACCACCACCACAGAGACCACAACCCCAACGCCCACCATCACTACCATCACCACCACCACCACAGAGACCACAACCCCAACGCCCACCACCACCACCACCACCACCACAGACACCACAACCCCCACCATCACCACCACCACCACCACCACCACCACCACAGAGACCACAACCCCGACCCCCACCATCACCACCACCACCACCACCACCACAGAGACCACAACCGCCACCACGACCACCACCCCAGGGACCTCAACCGAGACCCCCAGCATCGCCACCACCACCACCACAGAGCCCTCAACCCCCACTCCCAGCATCACCACCACCACCACCACCACAGAGCCCTCAACACCAACCCCCCCCACCACCACCACCACAGAGACCACAACCCCCACCACGACTACCACCCCAGGGACCTCAACCGAGACCCCCAGCATCATCACCACCACCACCACAGAGCCCTCAACACCAACCCCCACCACGACGAGCACCCTGTCCTCGAGCACTGTCACCACTCCGTGTGTGGCTGACTGCAAATGGACTGGCTGGCTGGATTCTCATAAGAAACCCTTTCCCAAACCGCGTGGAGACTTTGAACCCATTGGAGACGTCTGTGGATCAGGCTGGGCAGCCGACATCTCCTGCAGAGCCACCAAGTTTCCACATGTTCCCATCGAACAGCTTGGACAAAGGGTGGTGTGCAACACTTCAGTTGGACTGGTGTGCAAAAACCAAGACCAGAAGCCAGGGGGACCCTTCCCCATGCCTTACTGCCTCAACTATGAGATCAACGTCTACTGCTGTGGGTTGTGTGCCCCCACATCTACCCCCACCACCACAGACACCTCAACCCCGACCCCCACCATCACCATCACCACCACCACCACCACAGAGACCACAACCGCCACCACGACCACCACCCCAGGGACCTCAACCGAGACCCCCAGCATCATCACCACCACCACCACAGAGCCCTCAACACCAACCCCCACCACGACGAGCACCCTGTCCTCGAGCACTGTCACCACTCCGTGTGTGGCTGACTGCAAATGGACTGGCTGGCTGGATTCTCATAAGCCACCCTTTCCCAAACCGCGTGGAGACTTTGAACCCATTGGAGACGTCTGTGGATCAGGCTGGGCAGCCGACATCTCCTGCAGAGCCACCAAGTATCCACATGTTCCCATCGAACAGCTTGGACAAAGGGTGGTGTGCAACACTTCAGTTGGACTGGTGTGCAAAAACCAAGACCAGAAGCCAGGGGGACCCTTCCCCATGCCTTACTGCCTCAACTATGAGATCAACGTCTACTGCTGCTTGTGTGCCCCCACGTCTACCCCCACCACCACCCACACCTCAACCCCAACTCCCACCACCACCACCACCACCACCACCACTGAGACCCCAACCTCGACCCCTACCTTCATCACCAATACCTCCACAGAGACTACCACCCCGACTCCTACCATCACAGAAATCACAAGCACCACCACTACTACCATCACTGAGACCGCCACCCTGACCTCGACCACACCACAAACCACCAGCACCTCAACCACCAGCATGCCCACCCCTACCCCGACCCCGCTTATCACCACAAGCACCATCACCACCACCAGCGTGAGCACCACCCACTGCAGCGAGTGCTACTGTTTTCTGAACGACACGGCCTATTGCCCAGGTACACAGGCTGTTCCTTCTGACTCTCAGACAGTGGATGCTGGGTGGGACTTTGAGCTCTGGTTTTCTAAGGGTAGGAGTCGGGTTTCAGGTCTAAACCGGGAGCTTGCTAGGGAAGCTGGGTGCTGCGTGGGGAGAGCTAATTCCGTGGCCAGCCCCACCTTGCTGCAGCCACGAGTCAGGGGGAGAGGGGTGGGGGGCTCCCCTCTGGTGGCCTGGGTGGGGACCCGCCTGTGCACACTGGCGGCCAGCCCTGCCTGGATGGCGTAGGCACTGGTCTCTCCCCCTGCAGGCGAGGTGGTGTACAACGGCAGGCACGGGGACACCTGCTACTTCGTGAACTGCTCGCTGGACTGCTCCTGGCAATTCTTCAACTGGTCCTGCCCGTCCACCCCCTCCCCAACGCCCAGCACACCCACGCCAACGCCCACGCTGTCCACAACATCAAGCACGCCAGCCACCACCAAGCGCCCTGGGTGCCCTGACTTTGATCCTCCCAGAGAGGTCAGTGGGCTGTGGGTGGCTGTGTCCCCACCGTCCAGGCCTTCAATGCCCCAGGCGCTGTCTTCCTGCTGGTCACCCAAGATGCCACTGTACCCCATGCCCTTCACCATCCCCAGTAGGGCTGCGGCTTCAAGCTGCCTTTCAGACACAGGGTCTGCCAGGGCATCCCACTGTCTCACCCAGGCCCTTCTTGCTGCAACATGGTGGCCTTGAAGCCGCCCTTGGCCTCCAGCCTCCTGGGGAGGGCTCTTAGGTACTCACCCCGGGGCCTCACAAGCAGGGGCCTCACAAGAGTGTCCTCGGTGGGCCGGGTGGTGGGGCCTGTCCCCCTGACCCTGCACCCTCCCTGCCCTCAGGAGAACGAGACGTGGTGGCTCTGCAACTGCACCATGGCCACATGCAAGCACGACAACACAGTGGAGATCGTGCAGGTGGAGTGCGAGCCCCCGCCCATGCCCACCTGCTCCAACAACCTTAAGCCCGTACGCGTCCTGGACCCCGACGGCTGCTGCTGGCACTGGGAGTGCGACTGTAAGCCCACGCTGTGGCTGGACCCCCCCCACCTCCTCCCTTCCGTGGGCGGGGGCTGTGAGGCCTGAGGTCTTCCGGTGCAGACCCCAGGTTGGACGTGACAGCCTTGACAGCCGAGCTCACCAAGGGCCAAGCACACATTCAGAAGGGCTTCCCATGGCCCTGCTCATTCCTCCTCTCGAGGGGACCTGAGCAGGGGGAGGGGTGTGCCTGGTGGAGCGCCGGCACCTCTGTGGTTATAGGGGCAGAGCTGGTGTTTGAACCTGGACCTTCTGACTCCAAAGCCAGGCCCCATTCTGCAGAAGGAACAGCCGCTGAGGGCTGTGTGGGGAGATGCTTTTTGGGGGCTGGAAGACGCTGACCCCCATCTCCCCAGCCCAGATGCCCCGCCTGTCCCAGACCAGACTTTCTGTATCCCTAGGTTCCTCCCTGCTCTTCTCACCCTCCCTGAGCTCCTGACTGCATCCTGTCCCCTCCCCCCTGGTCCCACCTTCCCTCTGCCCCCGGCTCACCCGGGCTCCCTCCACAGGCTACTGCACAGGCTGGGGGGACCCACACTACACCACCTTCGACGGGCTCTACTACAGCTACCAGGGCAACTGCACGTACGTGCTGGTGGAGGAGGTCAACCCCACCGTGGACAACTTCGGGGTCTACATCGACAACTACCACTGTGATGTCACCGACCGAGTGTCTTGCCCCCGCACACTCATCGTGCGCCACGAGAGCCAGGAGGTGCAGCTCAGGACGGTGCAGATGCTGCCCCTGAAGGTGCAGGTATGCTGGCGGGCCCCACAGCCACGGCGGGGCACCCATACGGCTCCCTCCCTTGGTGGGGGCTGGGCTGCACCCCCAGAGCTGTGCTGGGAGGGGGTCAGTGCTCATGGGACGCATGCAGCCCTTCTCACAGGGCCACCAGGGGCATCAGGGACCCATCAACCTCCCCTCTCCTGACCCCACCGCCCGCCCTGAGCACAGGTCTCTGTGGCAGAAGCCCCCTCCCCAAGCACAGGTGCACACACATCATGGAGTGGTTGGCTCCCATGGCCAGGGGAGCCCCACCCTCTGCACAGGGCCCAGAGTCTTGGGGTCCTCACCCCTGGGACCAGCCTGGACAAGTCTGCTTAGTGCACTGAAAAGGAATTGAGAAAGGGTGGGACCCCCACCACACGGTTTGATGAGGAGGGTGCTGTGGCCCCAGGCGCTCTCTGAAGGCACAGCCTAGCCTCCCCATCCCTCAGACACACAAGGGTCCTTTGTCCAGGCTGCCAGGGAAGGACAGGCCTCCCGCTGAGTGGCCAGCTTCTGCCAGGCTGGCCCTCTGACCCCCGGTGTGTCGGCCACAGGTGCAGGTCAACGAGCAGTCCGTGGCGCTGCCCTACAAGAAGTACGGGCTGCAGGTGTACAAGTCGGGCTTCAAGTACGTGGTGGACATCCCCGAGCTGGACGCCCTCATCTCCTACGACGGCCTCTCCTTCTCCATCAGGCTACCCTACCGCCTGTTTGGCAACAACACCAAGGGCCAGTGTGGTGAGCCCCTGCCCCCTGCGGCTCCTGCGCCCTGCCCCTGGGAGGCCGGCGGGGAGTGGGCACCTGCCAGCCTGGATGAGGTCCTCCTCCTCTGCTTGGAGCCCCATGGTCGTCATCCCTGTTTTGGCCCCTGTGGGACACCAATAGGAGTCTAGTCTAGTCTGTGCCCTCGGCGCTGGCCAGCTGGTCCCCAGAGGACCTGGGCAGGAGGAGGGGAGGGGTCCCAGGCGCTCACTGGGTCTGCTGGACAACCTGGCCCTTCTCGCCAACCCAGGCACGTGCACCAACACCACCTCGGATGACTGCGTGCTGCCCAGTGGGGAGGTCATCTCCAACTGCGAGGTCGCAGCTGACCAGTGGGTGGTGGACGACCCCTCCAAGCCACACTGTCCCCACTCCAGCTTCACCAGCCCACGCCCGTCCACCACGACAGCCAGCAGCCGCACCCCCACACCTGAGAACTGTGATCCTTCCCTCTGCGAGCTGATCAAGGACAGGTGACCCTGCTCCCGGCCCATCTGTGGCCTCGTCACTAGAGAGCTGCAGAGACTCAGGGAGCAGCCTCGCCTCTCTATGCACCCCCCACCCCTGGGCCCTGTCTGCACAGAGGAGACAAGGCTGGGGGCCTAGTGTGGGGCTGGGAAGGTGAAGGCCTTAGGGCTCAGGCTCCTGATTCCTTTGGGGCCGAGCTGCCTTGTCAGACACCCCCCTGCCTCTTTTGATTCTGAATCTCTCCTGCCTCCTGGGAGGTGCAGGATAGGCTGAGCTTGAAGCCTTGGGTAGACCAGTGGACCCAGGATGCAGCTAGCATTCAGGGCTGAACCAGGGAGGCAGATTGGGGTGTAGACAGAGAGGGGGCACCCTCAAAGCTGGCATCCACGGGAGCGAGCGCCTCGTGCCCAGAGGTATGCAAGTCAAGGCTGGGTGGCCTTCCGCCAGCGTTGCTGGAGGTGGGATCCTGGGACCTGGTGGTCATTTAGATGTGGCGCCTTCATCTCTGAGAGCCTGGCCACACGGCCTCATCCTTGGGCCACTGTGCCGGCCCCCTTGGTGGGATACAGGCTGAGCTCCAGGAGGGCAGCCCAGGCAGAGGGGCTGGGTGGTGGGGAGTGAGAAAGCCTGGTGGCACCGGCTGAAGCGTGACCCACACCCCTCCCCAACAGCTTGTTTGCCGAGTGCCACGCCCTGGTGCCCCCCCAGCAGTACTATGATGCCTGCGTGTTCGACAGCTGCTTCGTGCCCGACTCAGGCCTGGAGTGCGCCAGCCTGCAGACATATGCGGCCCTCTGTGCCCACGAGGGCGTCTGCATCGACTGGCGGAACCACACCCAGGGGGCCTGCCGTAAGTGCCCAGTGTTTCAGCCCCTGGGCGAGGGTCCTGAAGAAGGGCTGGGGCGCCGGGGCTCTGCTGGGCACTGTGCCAGCTTAAACCCAGATCAGGATGTGGTGGCCAGGCCCCCATGGAGACAGGCTGAGCCTTGGGGTGGGGAAGAAGGGCAGGCTGGAGGGGCTGGGGGTGCTGGATGGACTGCGAGCCTTGCTAAGCACCACTGGGCACCGGTCTCCTGGCTGGGGACAGCACGGGGGACCAAGGCGGGCAGCAGCGGGCAGCTGGCCACCCTCAGCCAGTGTGGGAGGGTGGGTCCTTTGTGGGAGGGGCTGGGCAGGACTGTCACTGGTCGGGGGGCAGGGGGATATGCACAGGCTCCTCCGACATTTCCGGCCCCTCTGACTGCTGCCTCTCTCCCACAGCGGTTACGTGCCCGTCTCACAGGGAGTACCGGGCCTGCGGTCCTGCCGAGGAGCCCACCTGCGGGTCCAGGTCAGCTGCTGGGAAATGTGTGGGCTTGGCCCCTGGGTGGTACTGTCTGGGCATGGTGCTCCAGCATGCCTGCTCCCCAGCCCGTCCACACCCCCATCTCACGAAGCCCCCCACCCCTCCAGCTCCTCGCTGCGGAAGGACACAGGCCTGGTGGAAGGCTGCTTCTGCCCCGAGGGCACCACCAGCTACGCCCCCGGCTTTGATGTCTGCGTGGAGTTCTGCGGTACGTTGCCTGCTCTCGGTGCCTCCCTCCTGCCTCTGCGAGGCTGAGCCTGGCTCCTGCGGCACCGGGACTCTGCTGACAGGATTCCTTTCCTCTCTCCTCCTAGGCTGTGTGGGACCTGATGACGTGCCCAGAAAGGTCGGCCCTCCTCCTTGGTGCTGGGGTGGGATTCTCCCACAAACCCTAAATTTTGTGGGGTGGACACGAGAACCTGGGAGCCTCAAAGACTGAGTAATGAGGCATTTAAGTCCTGGAAGGCTCAGCTAGCACGATATGCACCCACCCATCCGTCTGTTCCCCTGTTGCTACCTCCACCCATCCCTCTATCTTCTGCCCCTCTATCCGTTCTTCCATCCCCCCGTCCCTCTGTGTGTCCATCCCTCCATCCGTCTGTCCCTCCCTCCTTCCATCCATCCACCCTTCCATCCATCCCTCCATCAACATATCCTCCACCCATCCACAACACCCACCCATTGCTCATGTGAAGTTGTCTGGAACCGAGATGATATCCTAGCCACTGCACTGTCATGTCTACACCCATGGTTGATTCCTTAGTTCCATGCCTCACCAACCCTCTGGACACCTGTGGTGTGTCTGCCCCGAGCCAGGTCCACATGGTATAGGCAAATACTGGTGAGCAGGTCACGGTCAAGATGTTAGTGGCCTGGCCCTGAATGAGGGCTTCTGTCCTGGGCCAGAACCTGCCCCGTGTGCTCAGAGGTGGGAGGGCACAGGTTTTCCCGCAGCCCCGGCCCATGGTGAGGCCGCCCGCTCTTCTCCCTGCTCACCCCCTTCCTCCTGCAGTTTGGGGAGCGCTTTGAGTTCGACTGTAAGGACTGCGTCTGCCTGGAGGGTGGAAGAGGCATCGTCTGCCAGCCCAGGAAGTGCAGCCAGAAGCCCCTGCCTGAGTGCAAGGAGGACGGCACCTACCTGGTCACGGAGGTCAACCCCACTGACACCTGCTGCACCATCAGCTCCTGCAGTAAGGCCACGCCCGGGGGAGGGGAGCCGAGCCTGGGTCCCTGGGCGCCTGTCCCCTCCTGGGTCCCCCGGATTCACCGAACAAGTTCCCCGTGATGATTTCACCTCCCTGGGGAGTTGGGGAGCAGCAGGCGCAGGGTGTGTCCCGCTGAGAGTAGGTGTTGTAGGAGGAGGCTGTGCTTGGGCCTGGAGGCTGTGCTCGTACCCACAGACACCCCAGGCCCCACCCTGTGCTGTGGGTAGTGGCGGGGCGCAGCCTTCAAGGAGCCCTGCTTATTATCGCTTTTCCTCCCCTCTTCAGAGTGCAATGCCAGCCTGTGCAGGGAGAAGCCCCCTGAGTGTTCCCTGGGATTCGAGCTGAAGAGCGAGATGGTGCCCGGAAGGTGCTGCCCCCTCTACTCGTGTGGTGAGTGGTGCCCAGGGGCCAGGGCTGGAGGAGGCCCTGGGGCTGGGGCTCGCTGTGCCTTGAGTGGGGAGGTGAGGTGAAGTGGCTCCTTCCTGGGGGGCCTCATTCTGCATGTCTGATGCCCCAACGCCGGCCCTGAGCTCCTGCCCCATCCACCAGCTGTGTGTGGCCTTGGGCCCGGCAGGGCAATCTGACTGCGGCCCCCGTTCTTTCTCCCCAGTGCCCAAGAATGTGTGTGTTGTCGGGAATGCTGAGTACCAGGTGAGCCCTGGGCTGGGACAACGGAAGGTGGAGGTGGGTGAGGAGGGGTGGGGTCCTGGGCAGGCTCACTGGCCAGCTGGGGTGCCTGTGAGGGCTTGCTCAGGGGGCTACGCTGTGCTAGCCAGGCACGGGGCACCCAGCTCCTGTCTCCCACTGTCAGAGCCTTCTGGGATGGGAGCTGCACTCCCCGAGGCGGGTGGGAGGCGTGGAGGGTGCCCAGCCTCACTCACCCCTCCCTGTGCCCTCAGCCCGGCTCTCCAGTTTACTCCTCCAAGTGCCAGGACTGCGTGTGCACCGGCAGCAGGAATAGCACCACGCAGCTCAACGTCATCTCCTGCACCCACGTGCCCTGCAGCACGTCCTGCAGCCCCGTAAGCAGCCGCTGCCCCATCACTTCCCTTCAGGAGTGGGGTTCCGGCTCCAACAGCTCCTGTCCTCTTTCCCTCGCCAACCTGAGCCGTGTGTCTCGTAGGGCTATGAGCTCGTGGAGGCCCCTGGGGAGTGCTGCATGAAGTGTGAGCAGACCCACTGCATCATCAACCAGCCCAGCGGGCAGTACATCCTGAAGGTGCGCGAGTCCCCTGCTCAGGGCTGCTCACGCCAGGGCAGGGCCAGCCTGGGGCTGAGGGCACGGCCTGGGACAACTCCCGCTGCCCCTGGCTGAGTCCTCTGTGCCACTGTCCTGGGTGGCTGTGACAAGGGACCACAGACTGGGGGCTGAAACAACAGGCAGGATTCCCCCACCCCCACCCCGCCCCATCCTGGAGACTGGAGTCTGAGGCCCAGGTGTGGGCAGGGCTGCACTCCACCTGGCCCAGGGAGGGTCCTTCCTGCCTTGTCCAGCTTCTGGGCTCCAGGCCTTCCTGGGCTTCTGGCTGCATCACTCCAGTATCTGCCTGTCTTCACACAACCCACTCCTCTGTCTCTGTGTCATTGGATTGCGGGCCCCCTCCAGTAGTCCAGGATGATCTCATCTCGAGATCTTAAGTATGGCTGCAAAGACCATTTTTCCAGAAAAGGTGACCTTTAGGAAGGGGACGCGTCTGTGGACTACAGGCTGGTGGCTGCCCCTGGGCCCTTCCTGGGTGTCACCTTCCCTGTGACTCTGGGCCTGCAGGCTGGGCCTCCTGCCCGAGAATCCACACTTGGCTGGCTGCTCAGGCACCTTCCAGGTGTTTCCAGTCTGTCTTTCTGGGTGGGCCTCCGAGGGTGGGCCTCCTGCGGGCCCTCACCATGCTGTCCTCTGCCCCACAGCCCGGGGACAGAAAGAGGGACCCCACCAACAACTGCACCTTCTTCAGCTGCATGAAAATCCACAACCAGTTCATCTCGTCCATCTCCAACATCACCTGCCCGGAATTTGACGCCAGCGCCTGCCTCCCGGTGAGCGAGCCCGGGGAGTGGGTGTCCCCTATTTTACCATGGGGCTGAAGCCCCAGTGCTGGGACAGTGGCCTCTGGCCTGGACCCCTTCTGCAGAAACAGCCCCTTCCCATGTCTGTGGCTGGAGGGGGTGCTCAGAGGTGGGGGAAGGTCTGGGGCGCATGCTCATCCTCCTTTCCTCCAGGGCTCCATCACGCTCATGCCCAACGGCTGCTGCAGGAAGTGTGAGTACAGAACGCTCGCTGGGCTGCTCCCGGGGTCCGAGGCAGGGCCTGGTGGGTGGGCTAAACCCAGGCCGCCCTGTGGGGAGGAAGGCACGACGGGATGGTGCCCTGGGAGCCCTGTCCCCTCTGTGCCTCTCTCAGCAGAGTGAGGAGTTTGAGGGCATCACCAGGGGTGCCCAGCTCCCTAGAGGGCGCCTGAGGGCCAGGCGAGGTGCACTTGGGGACGGGAGAGGAAGCAGTGAGGGAGACCTGGTGGGCCCCCTTGAAGTGTGGAGACCCCGCCTCAGAGCCTCCACCTCCTCACCTCCAGGCATCCTTCGCAACGAGACCAGGATCCCCTGCTCCACCATCCCCGTTACCAAGGAAATTTCACATGCCGGCTGCAGCAAGTTGGTGACCATGAACTACTGCTCCGGGTCATGCGGGACCTTCGCCATGTGAGTCCCAGGCCACGAGTGGCCAGGGTTTGGGGAGGGGAAGGGGAGGCTGCCCCCTCCAGGAGGGAGTGGCCCCTCACTGTGGCCCTCCCCCAGGTACTCTGCCGAGGCCCAGGCCCTGGACCACAGGTGCACCTGCTGCAAGGAGGGGCGCACGAGCCAGCGGAAGGTGGTGCTGGACTGTCCCCACGGTGGCTCGCTGGACTACACCTACACGCATATTGAGAGCTGCCTGTGTCGGGACACCACATGCGAGCCCCTGCCACCCCAGGGCAGCACCCCCAGCCGTGTGCGGCGCTCTGGCCTCACGGCCCCGCCTCCGTGGAGGAGGTGAGCAGGGCAGGCATGGCCACCCAGGCCCCGCCCTCCACTGTCCTCCTCATCGCCCTGCTGACCCTCTGAGCTTTCCGGCTTCCTAATTCCTCTCTGCGGATATTTATTTTCCGAGCCTTTGTTCAATTCTTTACTTTCCTAATAAACTTGGGCAAAGACGCCGTGCTGGTGTGCTTCCCTTCGTGCCGGGGGTCTGGGTGCGCCGTTGTGCAGGGGTCTAGGATCAGCTGCTTCCCGATGGGCGAGTGGTTGCAGACGGTCCAGAGAGGGCCCCTCGGCCCTCTGTGGGGCCTGCTCACCAGGCTCCGCCCGGGACGCGGGGGACACCTGCAGTTATGTTGGTGTGGCTTTGGGAAAGTTCGTGTACAAATGCAACCACGTGACCCCCTTCCCTAGAGCGACCGACCCCCAGGGAGCCGTGCCCCGCCCTGTCCTGCTCTTGGCGTGTGCAAAGCCCTTGTTGGTAGTGAGATGCAGGTGGCCCCCCTCCCAGGAAGTCCCCCAACCCAGAATTTGTGAAAAGGACTCAGGTTCCTCTGCCAGCCATTCCCAGGGCTTCCCCCTCGTGAGCCCTCCGTCCTGTACCCAGGGGCTGAGAGCTCTGGGCAAGAGCGTGCGGGTGCACGTGTGTGAGCACTGAGTGTGTGTGTGCAGAGTGTGTGTCATCGCCTCACTGTGTCTCCACACGGGGAAAACCCGGGAGGTTCTCGATCCACGCATTGGGGGTTGCATGCCAGCTCCTGCTGCAAAAGTGACAAAACGTGACCTCAGGGTCCCTGCGGGCTGCTGTGAAGCTGCTGGTAGAGGCGTCGGAACCTCTGGACCAAACTGAGAAGTTCTGGTGGGCTCTGCGGACCCAGCAGGAAGCCCGTCCTGTGTGTGCGTGTGCACGCGGGCGAGTGACCCTGAACACACCTGCCGCACGTGGTTAGGGAACTGCCTGTCCTCGTCCTTCTGAACCTGCGGAGCCTCCCAAGCGGGAATCCCCAGGGAGGGCGCTCCAGTCTGCTTACTTCAGTTCCGTTTACGACAGTTCCGTTTACGACAGAGCCGTTTACGACAGTTCCATTTACAGCAGCGCGCAGGCTGGCGGCCTGGGCCGAGCTGTGGGGCCGGGAGAGCCCCGGCGCCTCCTCCCTCAGCAGCAGCGCTCCGGCCTCCCTGGGGCGAGGGCAGGGCGCCCGGGGTCCCTGGGCCGAGGCCCGC